TAAGCACCATGAGATCTGTTGTGAGGAAAAGTTTCAGAAGAGAACCTCTTATTACGGCTTTGTGGGTATTATTTTGCTACAAGCTGAAAATTCAGTAAAACGGACATAAATCAAGAAGAAAGAGCCCATAGTACCAATCCTTCTAGAATTCTTATCTCTACTATGACTTCTCTCTGTAATGAAGAACTATAAGATTCAATTCATCGTTGCCAGTTAGTCTTCTTCTGTCGGAGACAATAGACACTGTTTGACAGTCGACTGTATTTTGCTTTTAAATTGCTTAAATTTTTTCTTGTACGCCGCTGGAATTCTTGCAAGAAAAGATTTTCTTTTCAGTCTTTATAATAACGTTTTACTTTTGGGATCGGCATTATAAAACATATAACAATCCAAAACAAACTTATGAGACTTTGCAGTATAGCGCCCTCGTCGCGTGACATATGAATTTATTGATTAGTATGTGTACTGGAGGGAAGAAACTTCTCGCTTATCGATTTTTTGTCATTAATAGTTATCATTTCATAGATATACCTTGGATGTGTCGATATATTGAGAAAATGATGCCATCAATGCGTCTGATCATAATTGTTATTTACTATAAAAACTATATACGATTCTAGACTAACTAAACCGATAACAAGTTATTTTTTCAAGAAAACATTGATACACTATGAAGCATCCATGAAAAACTGTATCTTCTTCGTTCACTATTTCTAAACTCGAAGTCAATATAACTATTGAGATAGCATGGTAGATACTCATCATAGCTATTCCCTTTTTTGAGTTCATACTAGCCATTCTCTTTTGCAGCTTAGATCTATCCATACTCTTCCATACCAACTTACTTTTCACACAGACACTTACAACACTGGACCTCAGATGGAAACATATCGATGATCAAGGTACACAAGATCTTGCCAATGCCCTAAAAATCAATCAAGTAACACAAATTCTTGTTCTCTTTCATTTCTTTATATCATCATTCATACACTTTCCACATAGACACTCACAACACTAAACCTCTTCGGCAATGAAATCAGTTCACAAGGAGCGCAAGATCTTGCCAATGCTCTAAAAGTCAATAGGGTAATGCCAGTCCTTCCTCTACTTGTCCTCACGTCATCATTCCTGTACCTTTCACACAGACACTCACAATGCTAGACCTCGGACAGAATGAAATCGGTGATCAAGGAGCACAAGATCTTGCCAATGCTTTAAAAAGCAACAAAGTAACACCAATCTTTCTTTTTCTTCTCACTTCATTATTCATGCACCTTTCATACAGACACTCACAGCACTAGTTCTTGGATGCAATAAAATCGGACCAAAGGGAGTACAAGACGTTGCCAACGCTCTACAAATCAATAAAGTAACACCAATCCTTTTTCGTTGTATCCTCGCTTTATCATTTACGTACTTTTCAAGACACTCGCAACAATAAACCTCTACTGCACGAGAATCGGATCACAAGGAGCACAAAATCTTGCCAATGTTCTAACAATCAACAAAGTAATATCAATCCTTTTTCTGCTTTTCCTCTCTTCATCACTCATGCTCGATCCATTCAGACCCTCACAACACTAAATCTCTACTCTAATCAAATTGGTAATCAAGGAGCAACAGACCTTGCAAATGCTCTACAAATCAACAAAGTAACACTGATCCTTCTTCTTCCTTTCCTAACTTCATTATCCACGCACTTATCACATAGACACTCACAACACTACATCTTGGACAAAATAAAATCGGTGATAAAGGAGCACACTACCTTGCCAATGCTCTGGAAATCAATGAAGTAATACTAATATTTCTCTTCATCTTCTCCTCATGTGACTATTCATGCACTTTTCACATAGACACTTCGGACACTAGATATTGGTGTTAATGGAATCAGTGTCGATGGAAAGAAACATATTAAGAAGGCATTGAGCAAAAGGAAACTAGGTTATACATTGTGGTCATGATTCGTATATACAGTTATAATGACAATAAATAAAGTGATTACTTACAATTCACAATGAATAATTAGATGTTTGATTCTTTCATAGTCTTTCTTGTGAAATCACCTTTTTTGAGCATGTTCCACACTTCACAATGTTTAAGGAATTTATACTATCTTGAGGGTATGGATGTGGGTGTGTTTAGCTAGTGATTCAAATATGAATCAATCAAATAGTTAGCAAGACCGGTTTCGATAAGTGCTGATATTATACTTATCGATTGCTTTTTGATTTAAATAGAATTTTCTTCTACTTGGAAGTATTATCGAAAGAAATCTATAAGACTCCTAAACAAACAACACTTACAATAATATATTATTGGGCAAAATGCAAAAGAAGCAAGTACCCAACAAATTTTTAGGTGGGTGTGGGGTGTGGGCGTAGATAAAATGGATATATACACCCACACCCTTTCTATGCATCTGCATCTATACATCTTTTTCAGTAGTATAAAAATATATAAATAAAAAGGATATACTTTACTGTGAATACAAAGACGAATATGGGTCGCGACTCTTCGAGGAGTGCGTAGCGACCTCACATCACAACCTAAAATATAAAAGGTTAGTTAGACGGATAATTTTTTTAAAATTCTTGAGTAATTGAATTCAACTTTCATAAAAATACTTACAAAAAGACATATACATATATTACAAGGTATAGTTTCGAATAAATGGGTTTGAACATAGAGAAAAGATTATATTTATCAGTATATTATGATTTTATTTGAGACTTAGCCATATGTCGGATTTCTCTCAGCAACAGCTTCTTATTATTTCATTAACGTTTCGTAAAAGGATCATAAAGCGAATTATATGGTCCAACAACATATGTATGAATAGGTCTAAGTATTAATAATCAGAATGGACTACAAATCGATTATCTTTCGTAAATTTACACATGAATCACTTCGACGTATTGAACATTATCGACAAGAAGAAAGTGAATGTATTGCTTCTGAACAATTAGAACAACAAACAATAGTTGAACATAATTATGATGAACATCATCGTATGAATAAGTCATCAAAAGATGAATCAGTTGATCCTAAACAAATTCCTAATAAAGAATTGGCCGTTGGAGAAACATTACCACTAATTTTACAATATAGATTCCCATCTGAACTTATTGGAATACCTATCGAAGAAATCGATTCTTAGTATCGTACAGATTATGTATGCATAATTATTTTGATAACTTTATCTCTTTAAAAAAAAAAATAATTTTTTTTTAATATTTTTAAAATCGTAGGCATTTGTGGTTATTAATCGAAATAATACAATATTTCGATTTAATGCAACATCAGCTTGTTTTATATTTTCGACGTTTAGCTATACGTATATTAACACATTCACTTTTTAGTACATTGGTTATGCTTACTATTTTAACTAATTGCATATTTATGACACTTAAGAACGTACCAGAAATGAATGAGTATATGATATTATTTTATTTTCTTCTTAATAATATTATCTGTTTTTTTTTCTGTTTTTATTTGAAATAAATAGATATGTTTTTACAGTAATTTACACACTTGAAGCATTAATAAAATGTATTGCACGAGGATTTATTCTACAAAAATATACATTTTTACGTGATCCATGGAATTGGTTAGATTTTATTGTAATTACTCTTGCATATGTATTAAAAATATGAGAAATATTTTATTTTGAAGGTTCTTTTTTCCTTAGATATGTAACATTTTTTATTGATTTCGAAAATGTTGCAGTATTACGAACATTTCGTGTATTAAGAGCATTAAAAACTGTTGCAGTTGTACCTGGTATATTGTTTAATATTTGAAAAAAAAAATTGTTAATTAATTGATTGTCATAGGCTTAAAAACAATTGTTAATGCTTTAATACAATCTTTTATTTCTCTACGAGATGTATCTGTTTTATCAAGTTTTATTCTTTCTATATTTGCTTTGGTATGAAATTTAGAGCAAAAAAAGAAAAGTATTGAATAAGTTATTCTTTTAATTATAGATCGGCTTACAACTTTATATGGGTGTTCTTCGACAAAAATGTGTGCCAACTTATGAATCTTTTCTAAATAATTCTAATATTTCTAGTATTAAATCTAATATGACATATGCAATCTATCTGAAAGAAATTGATAATGAAAGTAGGTTTAAAAAAATTCTTTATTACGATCAAACGAAGAAAAGTTTTTTTTTTTTTCATTAATCTATTAATAGAAAAAGTTTCTGAATTAAGATGTGATTAGTTAATAATTATTTATCACATTGTTTGACAAAAAAAACGAAAAGAATTAATTTCGAAATTGACATTTTCTTTTCTTTTATTCGATCTACAAAATGACATATACCATTCTATTTCATTGAAATATTGAAATTCTTAATAGATTCATATTTTGAGAATTTCATTTTTTTGAATTTTTTTTACTTTTTACAGTTAATTGGTATAAAGAAAATGATATTTTTCTTCTTTGTGAAAATGCAAGTGGAAGTACAAAATGTCCTTCAGATTATATTTGTTGGAAAGATCGAGGCATGAAGTAAATTTTTAATTATTAATTTTTAACAAAATATTTTTGTTATGTTTTTTTTAGTCCTAATTTTGGATATACAAGCTAGATTTTATTTAATCGTTTTTTTTTTCATATGAATTTTTCTTGATATAGTTTTGATAATTATGGTTGGGCTATGCCTGCATGTTTTCGATTAATGACACAAGATTATTGAGAAAATCTTTATCAATTAGTAAATAAAATAAAAATAAATTCTATATATTATTAATTATTATATTTTTATCTAGATACTATCAACAGTTGGTCGTTATCATTTTTTTTTATATTTTTTGGTTCATTTTATTTGATTAATTTAATCTTAACTATTGTTTCAATGTCTTATCCACAACAACAAGATTCAAATTGTAAAATTTCATATGCTGAGAATATTCCTGTCGAATATGAACAAGATAGAAAAGTAAAATAATTTAAATTAAAATTTGTTTTTTTTTTATTTTCGAAAATAAAATAAAATTTATAGTTATCATCAACATTTCAATTTGATAAGTCGAATAGTATCTTGGCTAATACAACAACAAACGATATTATAACAATACCTGTTTTTGATGAAACACAACAACAACAACAGCAAAATATAACAAATGAAGATACAAAAAAATCAACGAATAAGTGATTTTTCATATTTATCAGAAGAAAATCAAAATAATAATAATGATCCAACTATTATAGTAAAATGAAAATAAATTTTTATTATTTTATTTTTATATTTATCTTAAAACTTCATCAAGATAAACCTCAAATAAAATGTGTTTCAACTATAGAAATAGTACCTACTCAACAATTGAACAGAATAAGTATTCAATCAAAAAGTAAGTCATATTCTAATATATCTAATAAAATATACATATATCGATCCATTTTTCCCACATTTTGTTTAAAAAGATCTTTATTTGTTTTGTGTCCTTTCACTCTTAATCCTCACTTTTTAAATCAATATAAAAAAGAAAAATACACGTATGATTTTTGTTATTTATTATTTAAGCATGTTTATAGTTTTTGTATATATCCGCTTTGAATTGATTATCTAGAATAGTTGATTTGTCGAACGTGATTTTCAATTAACTATACATGTGCATGAATAATAATTACAGGACCATTATTAAAGACATGAAAATCGTCATTGTAGATACGGATACAACCAATAAGTGTAGTCGAGCATCAATTAAATTTCTACAAATTTATTGTTGGGAATGAAATTGTCAATCGCTGATATTTCAAAAATTTCAAGTATGTTTTATTAAATTATAATATCTCGGTTTAGCAGCATAAAAACATATGGAGTGTTTCATTTGATGGCTTATGTCAACAGTACAGAAGAATACTTAAATGGTTTCGCTAGAATAGAATAGATTTTGAAAAAAGTACAAAGTACTCGATTATTGATTTATAAATATCAGTATAACAAACTTGTTATCAAATATTAATACGAGACATCTTAATCTTATGTGGAAAATTCTTCAACTGATTAATCATTTTTTGAATCTGAACTATATATATCATCATATGATGATTATTTTTTAAAACTCAATATTGTAATGCCTTTAGAAATATGACGAAAACTGATTTTCGAATTTTGACTTGAAGCTTTCCATAGAGATAGACATTAATGAAAATAATTTATTGTGCATGTTTTAGATCTTTTGATATGTCTCTATACTTGAATAAGAACATTGAATCCGTTACTTTGTAAGAGATAAACTATTTTGTCTAAGGTATATTTCTATGTAAACTTTCAAATCGAAAGCTCAAATGGTGATTTGGATAGACAATCAGGAGCTCTCTCAGAGACATCATAGACCATATTCTTATAGATGGATTAAGGGTGAAAAAGTCCTTAAAAAAACAAAACTTGACATTTTTTCAAAAGTACTACCTTATAGAACACAAAATTCTGAGTAAAATGAAGCTCAACTTTTTGATGATCAAAACACATTTTCCCCTCTTGAGAAAATTCAATATTTCTATTTTCAATTCCCATCTCTTTCAATTTAATTCTGCACAGAAAAAAAATAATATATTTGTATTCAACTCATTTAAAGAAAAGTGTATGGGTGTGAGTATGCGTAGTGCTTTGCCCACCGACACTCATACCCACACTCAAGATCCATACCCACATCCACACCCCACACCCACCCACACCCTTTTTTAAACAAAAATACAGCTTAGAACTTTATTCTTTCTTCTTCATCGTGAATATAAATTTTCGTGACATGTCACTGAGCCAAGGTCCCATATAGGACTTAAGAGAACTGCGTTATGTTAATACCAAGCGTCTTAGCGTAACCATTTCCATAATAGACTAGAAGTTCTTCTCCTATATTGATATTTCGCGTTGTTAAGTAGTAAATTTCGTCATAATCTATGCAAACAACAATACATAAGCAATTCAATCGAAAATTATATACGAATATCATCTTACATGTGACGTGCCGGAGATTTTGTTGGCTAGGGGTGTTCGCACAGTTAATAAATCGAAGCCAATTCGAGTTGCTGGCGTCCACTGCATCGACGTAATATATCCTCTCACCCAATTTGTCTCTAACCTATGCATACATAAAAAGATAGATATCGAACTACTTTCATTCTTACATTCCAAGCATAGTGCAGTCCTCCGTCAGCAAACCTATTATTGTGCTTACGTCCACCGTAAGGACCAAAATAAGTGTTTTTTGCGATGCAACTAGCGGCAAATACTCCTAGGCCCTTATGAAAATAGATTATTCATTTTTACTTGTGCAATACTATTCATTATGTATTACTTACGGCAATCGGGAGAGTACTTTTAGCAATGAAGACAGTGTCGAGTGGAGTAGTTGCTAGGGCATAATCATTGGGATCGACGAGAGACGGATAAATTACCTAAATATTCTATGCAGTAATATGTATCAATTTCATTGTTAATTGACAATAGTAATCATTTTTTTGTGGAATACTTAGAATTATTTCAGATCTAATATTGTAGTGTACGCAATAGGGATTTTTGCATTCGTGTTTGACCTTTCCGTTTCAAAATATGAGAACGTATCTCATGCTGTATCTTTTAGTAATGTTTCAGCATGTCAAAATTCTACACATATTCGCTTCTCTTTTTATGTTGGAACTTTTTCATTCTAAATGTCTATAAATGAAAGACGAAAGTCATACCGCTAGTTCGCGAAGAGGCTAAGAAAAAAGTCTAGTAAAATTTATTCAATTTCTACCTCAAGACTACATTCTTACTTGTGCATCCTTAACATAACTTGTTTCACATTTCGAACGAGGTGCGAATGAACATTTTTCAACACTTTGACAATTCTTACTGGATAGCAGCAAAAAAAGTATCCATTGAAAAACAGTAGAGAATTTGTGAATCATGTTATAGTCCTCTGCTTAAAAATAATATTTGTACGGCTATTCGATAATACAGATAGTTTGCAATAAAGAAAACAGAGATATATGTTTACTACGTGTGCACTGAAACATGACGACAAAAGAATGGAAAGTGAACTCGGTGACAGTAAACAACAATAATAATCATACATGCACTTCAAAGCTAAAATTGCCTACGTAGATTAATAAAATCAAGGATGTCTTATTAATAATATATTTGTTTATGAACAGAAAGAGAATGAAAGAACGAATAATAACCGCTGTATTACAAGGTCGCTGACGATAGATATCAACACATTATACTTCTCCAACAGCTATCAAGCTCTCCATTCTCTCAACAAAAAACAAGCCAATTTTCATTAAAAAAAAGTCAAAATTGAAATAAATACATACTCAGTGAAAAATATCTATGAAATAAGCATGATAATTTTTGATTATAGACCCAATAGTCTGATTTTTGATACAAAATTGTTTTCTTCAAAAATAATTCGATTAAAATCAATTATTTTGTATTATTGAGTAAATCAAATTTTTCTGTGTCATCAAGTTCCTGAGAAAAATATTTCTTAAGAAAATCACGTTTATTTTTTACTACAGACGTATAAATCTCATCTTTTGACTGCATCAGACATATTTTGCGGCATACTCAGATTGAAATTGATAATATTCACTAAGTGGATTAAAAAAAAATAGAATCAACTCAAAAGTTTTTTTATTAATTATTTCATTTATAATCTAATTTTAATTCTTCTCAATGAATTAAAATCTCAATCATTGAAGATTCAATTCATGGAGTAGTTATAAATTCTTTTTCCGAGTTTTTATTATTTGAATTTAAGGTTTTCTGTTGTCGACGAGCAAAAATTGAATACGATATACCGATAATAACAATGATTCATAAAGAAATAACAACAATAGGTAACCATTTGAAAAACATTTGTACATAATTGTGACATTGTCATAGTAAACATGTATTTGTCTCAAAACATTTTCTTTCTTTATAGTAATGTTATTCATTTCAATAAAAGACCTACTCCTTTCCCGCTCGAAAACAAAAAAACAACAATTTTTATTCGTATTATTGTTAGTCATAGTTTCAATCCGATCGAAGCAAATAGACACATGTCTATATTGACAACGTGTTTCAAAATTAATAATACTTAAAAGTTGAAATCGTTATTTTCTTGAAGAAAAATGTATGAAAGATTCATTCATATCTCCTTTACATGTATCTCCTAATACATGTAAAACAACAAAAAATTTCAAAACTAAAATAAATCTTCATTAAATTTTATTAGAATAGATACAATTCAAAGATGATTTCTTGGAAGCACGGAAATTCTATATTTATTTTCTACTACAAACATTGAATTTTTAAGTAGCATACATGACAATTGAATGTTTAGGAGGGTACCAGGGTGTGTGTGTGTAGATATTTGAAGAGTATACCCGCAGCCACTTCCTTGTATCTAGATCCATATAATCTATATTATCAATGACAAAAAATACCGAATGAAAATTTTATTTTTTAGCTAATTACCTCTTTTCCTATTTTGCATACAATTTCCAAAACATTTTCTATATTTTTTTGTAAGATTTTCATGTATTAAACGCATTCAAATGTTTTAGCCATTTTTAATTATCTAAAATACAAAAATATAACTTATTTTCTATTTCAGGAGATAGAGCAGCGCTGTAAATAACATTTTTATTAATTTATTTCAAACAGAAATAAAAAAAGAGAGATTCAAGCTTTCGTGTCCTTATCTGTAACACATCGTCAGGAATGACAATATAAAATCATTCATTCTATTGATATAACAAATGAGAAGAAAGATATAAGAACAACATGAAAGTAATATTTCAATAAATGTAAAAAAGAACAGTACATACAATCAAATGATCGGCGTCGGTAATAACAATCAAACAGACCGATACGTTGTTCAATATGAAATATTTCTTTTTTTTATTTCTCATTGAAAAGAAATATTATGAAATGAATAAGAATTTAATTAAAAAATCTTTCTATCATTTACATTAACATTGTTTTTCATCAATCGATTCCTTACATTAGCACTGTTAACTTGATGAAAGTTATAGAAAAACTTCAAAACTGAAGAATGAAACATACGAGTAGTTTATTTTAATTCATTAAATACAAAGAGATAGCATATGACTTTCAATAAAAGTCAACTTTTATTATCAAAAACAAATATCTATATTCATTCCAATCGCTATTGTAAA